GCGAGCGCGTGTGGTGGGCGGCGGCCAGGCGCGCGGATTCCAGCGTGGTCGCGGCCCCTCGGTCCCTCTGACCCCAGGAGGAGCGATGATCTCACGAAGTGTCCTGCTCCCCTCTTCTCCTCGCCGCGCGTCTCCCCTCCCCCTTTGGCGTCGTTGTGCGTTTCAAGCCCCGGCCGAGACCCCAGCCACCCACAGGCTCCGGTCTGGACTTTCTGAGTCCGCGGTGGACACAGCGCCGCTCACCCTCCAGCGAGGGGTGCGGGTCCCCCTGGGTCTGTCTGCAGCCTCGAACGGATTTCTTCGGAGGGCGTGGGGACGGAGCTCTGGGAGCGGGGAGATTCTTCCAGGGGTGGGATTGTTCTCAATCACCCTTCCCCAGCCACCCTCCACCAATCCTGCCCCTAGAAAGGGGTGTGGCCACAGCCTCTCAGGGGACTGTGTCTCCCCAGAGTGATGGGGAAAGGCTCTTGGGGCGAAAGAATGAGGAGGGAGTGCGGGCTCAAGGCCACCAGCCTGGTCTGTGTTAGAGAGACCGGGTGGCATCTGAGGGGCGACTTTCCAGACCCCGGGTTCAGCTGGAAGAGCCCCGCTGCCTCCCTGTCATCCATCCTCCCATCCCCACACAGCCCTCCCTATGTGAGCTGGTGCCAGACTCCCTCCACCCTGACAGTGGTCCTGTGAGGGTGCTGCTGTCCTGACCCTCCACCTGCAGGTGAGGAAGCTGAGGCACGGGCCAGAACAAGGATTGTGAGTCTTAACTCCAGACTCCCCCCCCCGCCCCCCCCCCAGTCAGTCCCCAGGTTGGCCTAGCGGACTGCCTGGACCAAGCACTCTCCACACCACCCAGCCAGGGGCCTGCCAGGCACAGCCACAGCCACCGCTATTGGACAGAACTGATTTCGTTTATTGAACAGAGCACGGGCAGAGCAGGTCCAGTGACCTGGCCCTGTCCACACCCCTCCCGTGCTTAAATATTGCAGGGTTCGGGAGCTGCTCAGAGGTGAGAGGGCACTTCCCCGTAACACTACCCACCACTCCACCCCTGCCCCCTTGGCCCAACCTCACCTTCTTCCAAAGCAGGGGTGGGGAGAAGGCCTGTGTCTCTACATGGACCATGCTTGTGACCAGGTTGAGGGCGTGGGGGTGTCGGAGTGGAGACATGCTTGGGGAGGGAATATCTGGACATTCACCTGCACTGGGGGAAGGAGTCTCAAGGAGCTGATATTGGGGGTGGGGGGTGGGGGGAAAGAGGAGCCAGACGTGGCCTCAAGAACTCCCACCCGGTTTCAAGGGTCCTTTGAACCCCACCCAATTCTCCAGTGCCTTTCTTTCTTTTTTTTTTTTTAAATCCTCAATGAGGATATTTTTCCATTGATTTTTAGAGAGAGTGGAAGAGAGAGGGAAAGACAGAGAGAAACATTGATGTGAGAGAAACCCATTGATTGGTTGCCTCCTGCACAAGCCCTGACCAGGGCCTGGGCCAGGTAGGAGCCTGCAACGGAGGTACAGAGGTCCATGCCCTTGACCAGAATCAAACCCGGGATCCTTGGTCCACAGGCTGACACTCTATCCACTGAGCCAAACCGGCTAGGGCTCCAGTGCCTTTCTATATGTTCATTCCTTAATTTATTCCACTCTGACCCCCACTGCTCTGTGCCTTGCCCTGTCAGCCTTCGGAGAGATCATGGCTGGGAAGGGTTGATGGTGGGCCCGGTTGGGAGAGCCCAGCTCCCCTTGCCCCACTCCCACTCCCTCCAGCCTTGGGCACTTTTGGGGGTGCTGCAGGTGAGAATTGAAGATAGACAGGAGGAAGCGTTCCTTATTGATCAAGGAAGGGCCGCCAAGCCTGACTACTATTGATGATAATGAGGTTTCAGGAGAGGAGGAAGGAAAGGGGAAGAGGCAGGAGCAGGAGCAGGAAGGAGGAGGGGACGAGGAAAAGGCAAGGAGGGGAGTTGACTCCCCCCAGGCTGGAAGAATGAAACACTCCACAATGGGTCAGAGTATATGACATTGAGCCCCTTGGTGGAGCCCTGTCCCTCCATGGTCAGGGAGCTGGTCCTTGTGGCCTGTGCAGAAAATAGCTCTTGGGCGGGGAGAGAGAGGAGACCTGGTGCAAGGCATGGCTCCATAATCTCCCACCTTGGGACTTGATGAGTCCTTCTCCTACAGAGTCTCAACTTTCCCATCTGTACAGTGAGATGGTCTCTCCCACTTTTGGTTGGGTTTTCCAACATCCACTGGGTATTTTCTGTATGCCCAGCTCTCTGCCCCTTACCCTCAAGAGGAGAAATAGACAAGGGCCATTCAGAGTGATGTGGGCTATGATGGAGGGAGCCCTGGGGTGATGGGAGCACAGAGAAATCAGGGGAGGCTTCCAGAGGAGGTGCCACCTGCAGGGATCCTTTCAGAATGAGATTCTTTCTAGCTTTGTCTTTTTGCTCACCAGACCAGGACAGAGGCCACAAACAGGCGTCTCTGAAGAGATCATGAAGGTGCATGTGTATGAAGAGTGGTGTGCGAGGAGGAATAATGTTTTCTGCAGAGCCACATGCACCTGGGCCAGGTCCTCCTCACCCCAAGCCTGTGGGTGCATGGGGCCTTGAGGTGGATCTCTAGAGAAAGCCTGGGGAATGTTTTATCCATTACAATTAAGCCATTAACATTTATTAAGCCCCTTGGGACTTGATGGTGACAGGAAAAGGGCAACACATAGTAGGCTTAAATAGGACTAATAATTATTTTATGAAAAAGAAGACTTCAACCTGCCTGAAGACTATCGAGAGAGGGAGACACAAGCTTGTGGGAGGACCAGAAGGGAACTGTGGTTAAGGGATTCTTGGAACGAGGCCTTTAATGGTGGGGGTTTTGAAAGGCAGAGAGGAGCAGAGGCGCCTCCAGGAGAACATGAGCCAGGGCTTGGAGGCTGGATGTGTTCTGAGTGTTCAGGAGCAGTGAGAGGGTGGAGGGTGGGGAGGAGAAAGAGGTTGGATGTCTTGTCTGGAGTCAAATACCAAGAGTCTCAGGGGCCGGCTCAGCTCAGGAGCCACCTCCTCCTGGAAGCCTCCCGTCATGACAGTGACCACTTGGTTTGCTTAGGATCCCTCTCCCCCCCCCCCACCTCCCACTCCCCCTCAGGTTCACTGCTGCTAAGGTCCCTGAGGAGTTGCACAGAGTTTGAATATCCCCAAAAGAATCAGATCCAGCCCCTCTATTCAGCCAGTGAGCTCTAGAGGACCAGGGCCAGGCCTGGGGGCTGAAGGGCCCAGCCAGGACCCTGTCTGTGGTTCCTGTGGGCCTGTGGTTCACTTCTGTGACCAGGCTGAAGCAAGAGACCGGGGTATCCCTGGACCCTAAATTCCACAGAAACCAGTCAGTAGATAGAAAGTGGAAGGAAGTTGAGCTGAAGTCCAGAGAGAAAATCCAGGTTAAGAGCCTAAAACAAAGACCCCCTCTCCCCCCGTGGGGCTTCCAGCGACATCTTGTTTCAGACCTCTGGACCCCCACTCTGTGGATCCCGTTGCCAAGAGCCTTGGCCAGGGAGTGCAGGTCTGACATCTCCAGGTGCTGGTTCATTTCTGGTTTGGATCCAGGAGGGCTCTGAAATCCGGGTGGCAGGCAGGCAGGAAGGGAGGGCAGGGCAGGGCAGGGCAGTGGGCAGCCCCTCAGCCAGGGGCTCAGCCCTCCCCAGTCCCCCGGGCCCCTGGCTTCAGCTTCTCCAAGGTTCTGCTCACAGTGGCCAGGCTGCTTCGGACTCCTGGGGGGAGAGACCAGGACAGGGCTGCCTGAGTAGACAGATCTCTGGGTCAGAGCTACCCAGAGGGACCTGGAGCAGAGTGGGATGGACTAGGGAGCAGGGGGGGCGGGGGGAGGCCCAGGAGGCAGTTTCAGCCCCATTCATAGAGGCATGGATGGCCAGAACGGCCCTTCAAGAGGACTGCAGCCTGGTGTGGGGTTAGAGGCAGGAACTGGGGCCTGACTGCCTGGGCTCAGTTCTAGCCCCACTACTTCCAAGCTATGTCACTTAATTTCCCTGCGCCCCATATATAAAGTGGGGCTAATTACAGTACCTTCCTCATATGGTTGTTCTGAGACTGGGATGAATTAATATATGTAAAGTGCTTGGAACAGTGTCTGGCATGGGACCTATGCTGAGCTGAGGCATCCTACCGCTGGTGGCAGGCACTGTGGGCTGGGCTGCCTGGAATTTTCCAGTGTGTGGAGATGGGGCAGGAGGAAGGTGCCAGTTTCAGGTACCAGCTCTGAGAGTTGATTCTACAGTGGGAGAGGAGAGTGAGAAAATGAACTGGGGCATGGGATGGAGGTGGGGAGGGGCAGCGAGGTGCTGACGATCCCAGGCCCTGAGGACAAACAAGAGGAGTTTTGACTAAATATATGGAAGAACTACCCAACTCTGGGGGCTCTCTGGGGCTGGGGAGACCCCTTCTGCATGCCCCTCAAGGTTTCTCGTGGGTCCCACAGAGCTCAGCCAGAGGGGAAAGGCGGAAGAAGGATTCTGGAATTTCTGGTACTTACCCTCTTTATTGCCATTGGCGTTGGATCTTCCCTCCCCTTGATCTGGCGCTGGATGGGGGTGGACTCTCAGGTTCCCTGCAGGATGAGACCACCCCAAGCTCCCTGGTCACTAAGCCAGTTTTGGAAAGGGAAGTCCTTCCTGTTGTCTAATCTCCATTCCTGTGGCTGTCTTTGCTCCACTGTATTTTTTTAGGTCTTCTACACTATCTGGGCTGGTGTGGGGTGGGGAAAGGGCCTTGAAGGAGAAGATGGTAGGGAACTGGGGATATGTAAAGCCCTGTGGGATTGATGAGATGGGAGGGTGTATTGGGGGAGGTGAGATGAAGTGGGGGCTATATAAGGGTGCTAAGGTCTTGAGGAACAAAGAAGGTTTTATGGTGGCTCAGGGATGAAGTGGGGAGATCTGGAGATTTTGGAGGTTTGGGGGAGATGGAAAATCTATCAGGGGAGATGGGAATTTTAGGTGCTCTGAGCTGCTTTAGGCACTTTTGCAGCAGGCTGGAATCTGCTGTACTATAGTCATAGCAATGCCTGAACCACACACCCAAACACACACACACACACACACACACACACACACACACACACACACGCGCGCGCGCGCAGGCGCAGTTACACATGTGGGCTCTGTTCCCTGCATAGTGGGCCACAGACTTACATACAAAGGGTCTCGCACAGACTTTGGCAGAGAATGCTGGGGATGGGGAGAGGACTCACCTATGTTAGGCAGGATGTGGTCTAGGTTGAACCGAGCCTTCAGGAAGGGGTAGGCCAACATGAGGAGGCCTGGGAAGAGAGACACAGAGGGGTTCTGTGATGGGGAGGGACCTGGGGGGTGGGAGCTGCATGAAGCTGTGGGTGGCTGTGAGCCCAGGGGTAGTTTACAAGGGTGATATTGGACATGCATGGAGGAGTGTGCAGGTTGGGACTATGGGTGGGTCAATGTGAGCCTGTGAGTGTGTGCACGGGCCGCTCTCTAACAGCGGGTCCCCAGAGGGGCAGAGAGCAGTGCCTATCTGGGGAAGGGGCTACAGGCCCCACCAACCACTGGAAATAGGCTCAGCTGCCACCACCACCACCAACTCCCCCAGGGTAGGGCTGGGGGGCTCCTCAGCATGCTCCTGTCCACCCAGACCTGGAGAGGGGGTAGCAGAAGAGTGGGTCCTGCCCTGCCATTCCCACTGTATCCCCAGACCAAGTGTCCATGGCCCTGGGCTGGAGTTTGCAGGTACAGATGCCCAGAGCCCACAGCCTAGTGCTTCTGGTTCTGTTTGGTCCAGGGTGGTGAAGTGGGGGGTGAGGGATGGTATTCAGCATCACTGTGGGCACATCGGTGGGACTGGCCCAGATACACAGATGGACAGATGCCTGGACAGACAGATCTGCTGCTGAGACATACAGAGGGAAAAAGGAAACCCTTTGTCTGAGCTACATCCTGTCTTGGCTCAAGGAGGGTTCACTGGGAACTTGGTCCCCTTTTATCTGCTCCCATAGCCCCACCAGCAGGCTTATGAATCCTACCACAAGCCCAAGAGCCCAGGCCTGAGACTGGAGAGCCAGAGGGGGAGCAGCCAGAGAGGAATGGGGCACAGCTCCTTTCCTGGCAGTCCATGGAGGGAACCTCACCCCAACCTTCCTCTCCCTCCCTGTACCCCCCAAAGCTGCCTTGCTCTAGCTTCCACCCTCTCCGACCAATTCCTGTTGTCCCAGCTCTTCCCTTCATTTCCTGTTCACTTGCCCCTGCCCCTGCCCCCTCTCGGAGCCCAGCACCTGCTCACCCAGACCAGCAGCGCCAATAAAGATACCACCCAGAGCGGCCACAGCTTTGGACACGGAGACGCCGATGATGATACTGCCGGCCACCAGGCCCAGGGCCACGCACGCCAGCTGCAGGCAGCGGAAGTCTCTGCTGCTGATGGGGATGTCCATGCAGGCCTACCCAGGGCACCGTGGCCAGCCAGGGGGGCCGGTTCCCGAAAAAGCCCTGGAGGTCTTGGTCCTCTTGGCTGTCCCTTGTTGGAGCTCCACCTTCAGGGTGGGAGTTTCTGGGCAGTAAGATTCTGGGCTTGTCACCCTTAGATTTATCTGCAACCCTATCCCACACTCTCCTCGGTGTCCTCCACCTTGACCTAAGATCTCTTCCAGGTCACCCCAGCTTATTGTTCCTCCCCTAAAGGCCTCTGAAGCTGGGGACCATTTTGGGGACTCCTGCCTGGCCACACCCAGTGCTGGCTGCCCGAGTTCTGGAGAGGGGGGCCTGCCCCATGGGGTCCTCCACTGCCTGCCTCCTCCTGGGAGAGCTCAGCCCAAGCTCCCCTGCCCAGGACATCCTGCCCCAGCTCCCAGGAGCCTGCTCAGCTGCCACTGAGCCTTGGCCTATTAAAGTTTAAAGAAGTGTGTGTGTGGAGGGGGGGGGGGCAGGAGAGGGTTGGCCCACGGGCCAGGTTCCTCTGAGATGCAGGCAGTAGGGAGGTGCTGAGTTATTCATGAAGTTGCAATGTGAGCTGCTGCCTGGGTCCCAGCGGCCCCCTAGGGCAGTCAGCCCAGGTTCCACTGCTGGTCCCTGACAGGGCAGGATGAGCTACTGGCTTCACACAGGGTTCAGTAGCCAGGGATGTGAGGAGGCTCCCTGGCCACATACTCAGGACTCACTCTGCTGTCCCTTTGGCTTGGAGGTGCACCTGGGGCTCTGCTTGGGGACTCAGAGACAGAGTGAGGGAAGGAGACCTGGAGGAGACTCAAGAGACAGGAACAGCAACTAGGACAGGAGAAGAAGGAGAGGTGTCCCTTCAAATCCACTCTGTATGCCTGCCCTCCCTCCCTTCCCCCACCCCATCCTGCAACCTCTGATTGCAGGCAGGGCTGAGGAGTCCTAGCTTGAAATGCCCCCTCCCCCTTTCTCCTCAGTTAGGCTTGGTACTCACTCCTCTTTAGTTTTCAGTGGGCTGAGAGAGTGAGCCCTTCTAGCCTCCTGGGAACCCTGGCAGGGAGCTGACAGGGAAGATCTGTGGTGGGGGCCCCGGGGGCTAGGGCTGGGAGAGGAATTGGGATTGGAATCAGCCCAGGTGGGGGCTGGTGACCGTGGCCTGGGTCAGGAGACTGGAACATGGCTGGCGCCTCCCGACCTCTGGCTTGAGCTCCTCTGCCCAGCCTATCTGACAAGTTGCTGGCAGGATCCACCAACTTGAGGTTGGGCAGCACTCACCCAGCCCAGGCAGCCCAGCCCTGTCCCCCCCTTACCCCCTCCCCAGTTCTAGCCCTCATCACTGATTGTATTCTGTGGCCCTATATGGACCAGAGGCTCCCCAGTCCCAGAATATGGCCCTAACCTTAGCCCTGGACCTACACACCTGGGCATAGTACCCAGGGTCCATCACCAGACACCACTGGCTTCTCTTTGGATCCCCCATCTCTCCCACCACATCTGTAGTCTAGCACAGCTGGCTGGGCCCATGGTCTCTGCCTCCAAGGCTGCCCCGGCCCTGGTCCCTCCCCTTCTCCTCAGCGGCCCTCCTGCTGAGTGTCCGCCTGGCCCCTGCAGTCTGGTTAATACCTCCTCATCCTTCGGGACCCTGCTCAGCCAGCCCCCACTCTGTGAAGCCATTTCGGATGGTGCCCGAGTGGGTGGGCTGCCCATCACTGCTGCCATGTCCCGAAGTGCCCACCATCAGTCCTCATTCTCTCTGTGTCCCTTCTAGCCTGTGAGTCCTGAGGGCAGTTGCAGGAGTGAGCTCCACAGAATGCACGGCCAGAGGGGACCAGAGCTCAGGGAAGGCATTGACCCTCACAACAACCTCAGGTGGGCAACGAGGAGGGCCGAGGGCACCATAGGACCTCTGTCTCTAACATGGGCTCTCCTTGGTGGGGGAGGGGGGCCTAGGAAGGCCAGAGCCACCTGACTGAGCTTCAGCCCAGGGAAGGCATGCCCAGATGCTGGAGAGAGGCCTGGGCGGGGACAGGTGTGAACTCAAAGGTGTGTAGAGAGGCGGGGTGCCTGCAGAGCACCCATGGAATCCCTGGGCCATGATCCTGGCTCATAGGAGAAAGCCCCTGGGGGTGGACATTCCTCAGCCTCAGCCACTGCTGCCAATATCCCCTGTGCCTCTCACCAGGATGAGGTCTGATTATTCCTCTAATTAGGCATCAAATGACAGACCATGTTTCTGTTACACGTAATTGATCCCCCACTGACTAGTTTTAGAAGGAGCCGTCAAAATAATTGTCCATGAAAACAAGAGATGTCGAGCTTTGGGAATCTGAACATCCTCCACAGGGCCCCCGCCTCCATAATGTGTTTGCATAACTCTGATGAGCAGGGCCTGTGCTGGCTCCTCTCATGGTGTAAGGCTGAGGGGCGCTGCCCGGACCATCAGCAAGACAGGGGCTCTGGGGCCATGTCTCCCACCTGGAATTGTGGGGCTTGGGCCAGCCACACCTCTGCCGCAGTCTTGCTTTGCTCATCTTGTGAATGGGGAGGGGGATGGCAGAGGCTGGAGTCAGGGATGCTTGTGCATCATGAGTTTCCGACTCCAGAACATTCTGATCTCTAAAAACTGGAGACCAAATAGCAAATTAGAGTTTTTCTTTAACATTGCAAATCCCTCAGGGCACAGATCAGAAGAGGAAATATGGAGGAGAGACACATTGAGCCATTATCAGTTCCAAAATCACAGAGAGCCCTGGCCAGTAGCTCAGTTGGTTAGTGCTGTGGTCAGCAAACTGCGGCTCGCGAGCCACATGCGGCTCTTTGGCCCCTTGAGTGTGGCTCTTCCTAAGCCTTAGGAGTGCCCTAATTAAGTTAATAACAATGTACCTACCTATATAGTTTGAGTTTAAAAAATTTGGCTCTCAAAAGAAATTTCAATCGTTGTACTGTTGATATTTGGCTCTGTTGACTAATGAGTTTGCCGACCACTGGGTTAGTGCATCATCTTGATACACCAAGGTTGTGGGTTCGATTTCTAGTCAGGGCACATCCAAGAATTAACTAATGAATGCATGAATGAGTGGAACAACAAATTGATGTTTCCGTTTAGTAATGCTCTGAGATCCAGACCTACCAAAAGATGCTGGCTGCTTTGAAGACAGTTTCTAGGTGTCATTGAGTTTTGCTACATGTCTGTCCCCAACTCAAATGGACAGTTTCTAGGTGTTTTTCATTGAGTTTTGCTACATGTCTGTCCCCAACTCAAATCCCACTCCTCAAGGGTCAGCATTTCCCATAGAAAAACCATATACCTTTTCTCAGCATCCCTATTAGGCTGCAGAAAGAGGCACTGCAAGCTCTTTTAGGATTTGTGGGCTGAAACATCAGTCCAGCCTGCATCTTTTCCCTCATCACAGGAGAGCACCATTAAGAGCTACACGGAACTTTTATGATGCCTGCTCCTCCATTGATTACACACGTAGAGAGGAAGGCTTGCCCGTTCTCATCTCCAAACAGGCTGTATCATCTCTGAAATGCATATCTGTCCTTGGACAATATGCTTACTACAACAGGTAAATGACATGGAAGTTCAAGGCACTAGAGCTGGACCACGCCCCACCCCACAAGCCTCAGAGCCCTCTTCCCTGAAGCCTGGGTCCTCCAAACCCAGACTCAAGGTGTGGCGAGGCCGTGGGTCACCGCTGAGTTCCATCACACAGTCTCTCTGTCTCCTGAGACCAGCTCTGAAGGGTGCCTGCCTTGAACTTTCCTTCCAGATCCAAAGGTGGTGTAGGGGTGGGAAGAGTGGGCAAAAAATGCCTGGGTTTGGTTTAGTTCTGTTTATTTTCCTTGAGGGGTGAGGACCCTGGAAAAGAGCATGATTAATTCACTGATCCCCTGGGGGACAGACAGGCAGCTTTCCGGGCTGTTTGGAAGCTGAAGTCGGGAAGCAGCTTCCAAGGCAACAGCTACCATGGCAACAAGAGTGCCAGCCATGGGAGAACCTTGCTCCTCCATTCCTTCCAGACTAAGTAGCTGGAGCAGTTGGCACAGGACCCAGGCACTGCTATTCTTGGAGCTAATTTGGTGAGGGGCAGTCAGGAGGGAGGAAGGAGGGCCCTAGAGCTCAGGCAGGTGGGGACCTGGCGAGAGAAACACCTGGTCCCTGTGCCTGGGCCCCAGATGGGGCTCATACAGGAGTCCTCGGGTTCTGCTTGAACCAGTAGGGGCTGGGGCTGAGGCCCGAGGTCTGGCACACACCGCTGTCTGGGACCAGCTCTCTCCTAAGGTCCAAACGAAGTGTGAATCCTAGAGCCTGGGAACCAGCTGCCACAGTTTTAGGCCCCAAAGCCTCCCCCAGTGTGCCTGCCACATCTGCCTCTGCCAGCAGAGCCAGGCACACGGCCTGGTCCTCAGAAAGAGTAAAGCCCTTCCTACGGTCGCCTGGTGAACAGTGGCAGAGGAAGGACTAGAACTCAGGGCCCCGGCGCCTACTGCTGCTCCTTGGGAACAGGAACCTCACCCCAGAGGGGCAGAGCAGCCTGTCAGCAGGGCAGGATATCGGGCCCCTCTGGAAAGCCCAGACCCAGCTCCACCCACAGCCTAGGAAAGGGTGAGTAATTCTGCAACAGGAGGTAATAATAAAAATAACCAAAACGATCATAGCTAACAATTATTGAGTACTTACTGTGTGTGCCTGAAACTGCCCTAAATGCTCTACATTTGTTAATTTGTGACTCACAACAGCCTGCCCAATTTTTGGTTAAAGAAACTGAGACTCTCAGAGATTAAATAACTTGCCCAAGGCCCAAAGCTAGTAAGTGGTGGAGCTGGGGTTGAACCTGGCAGCCCAGCTCTGGGACCCCAAGTCTCTCTGGAAAGAATTCCAGTTCCACCTTCTTAGCTGGACAGCCCTGGGCAAGCTATTTTTCCCCTTTTCCGCTTGGTTTTTCAGGGTAGGTAGGGTAAAATAATAGTACCTTTCCGCACAGGACTACTGTGAGAATTAAATGTGATAATGCCTCGAGCTTCTCAGAAAGAACCGGTTACTAAGTGCACATTAAAGTTAGCAAACCAGAGCAGGTGCCGTAGCATTTACACAGAGGAATGGAGGGTGGGAGGGCCAGCAGGTGGTCTGGGGTGGGAGGTGGGTGGTGAGGGCACAGCCTGGGCTCAGGCACAGCGGCAGGAGGGACCAGCTGGAGCTGCGTGCAGGGCAGGGTGGGGCTGGGCACAGGGAGTGTGTAATCCAGGAAACCCCTGGAAGTCACCTCCCTGCTGGACCAACCTGAAGGTCTGACCAGGCTGGGGCTGGAGTCCAGAGACAAAACTCATACCCTGGTCCTGAGTCCTGGGGCACTGGGAGACTTGGGGCTAAAAGGCTCCGATGGTGCAGGCCTGATTTCCTGGCCCAACCCACTCCGGGCAGATGGAGACGGGATGTGAGGGTGGTGAAGGTCCTGCAGAGGGAAGACTACCAGCAGAAAGTGTGTCATCATCACACGGAGGCACTCACAGGACAGGACAGCTGTGGCTGGGCCCATCGCCGCCCCCAGAGTGAAGAGCCCCTAGTCCCCACTCCCAGCTCTGCTCTGCCCATTCACTGCCCTGACACTCAGACCTCCCTCCTTGGGAACTTATAAAGGCACTGCCTTCGTCCTTTCCAGCCTGGCTCTGAGATTACAGGGGACACGCACACAAGAGCCCCCTGCGTGGTGAACACGCAGGCTGTGGATGTGAGGCGCCATTTTGCTTTGTTGCCAACTCGGCACACAATGGATCCTCAAGGGCTGCTTTAGACAGAGGGGAACTTTGTTCCCACTTGGGTGGTGGGCCGGGCTGTGTGGAGGGTGCATCGGTTAAAGCCTGCTTTGACGCCAGCTTACTGACAGCACCTTTTACCTGATGGGGAGTAAGGCTGTTTCTTACTCATCTCTGGGTCTTGGCACAGACTAGGACAGTGATGGCGAACCTCTGACACGCAAACTCATTTTTTTGGTTGATTTTTCTTTGTTAAATGGCATTTAAATATATAAAATAAATATCAAAAATATAAATCTTTGATTTACTATGGTTGCAAATATCAAAAAATTTCTATATGTGACACGGCACCAGAGTTAAGTTAGGGTTTTTCAAAATGCCGACACGCCGAGCTCAAAAGGTTCGCCATCACTGGACTAGGAGATGGACAAATGTTTGATGACCCTCATTTCCTCACCTGAAAAAGAAAAGCAATCATGTCTCCTTCACCTTGTTTTGTGAACCCGATGAGGTGCTATAGTTAGAGGTCCAGCCTCCTCTTCAGGTTTGCAGGTGAGGAAACGACTACCAGGAAGGCCACAGCTACAATTTAAAAGCTTTATTCAAACAAGCACAATGTATAACAGCAGCGTGGTGCTGTGTAAATGTCTGCCTGAGATATGCATATCGATTTTCTTTAGGTAACTCAGCAGCTCGGCTTATCTGATGCCAGGTTCGCCTTCATGCTCCCGGGCAGGCAGCAGCACCACATCCTCAGACTGCGCAGCTGGGCTGCCTCGGGCCCGACCTGTGCTGCCTTCCACAACAGGCCTGAGAGGCAGCAGCAGACTCGGTCTCTAGGTCACTTAAAACCAATTAGAATGATAGGAAACAGCTGATTAAAACCTTTCACACACATGGGCATTCAGGAAAAGAAGAGCGAGCTTCTGCGTGCTTTAGTTAGTCCATGGGCTTGCAACGGGGAGTTTTAACTCCCATCTTTGCTGGAGGAGCGTGGTTAAAAAAAAAACTTTTAAAAACGAAATAATACTGACTTTAGCAGCAATCCCAAACAAGGAAGAGGATGATAAATGAGGGACACATTTCGGTCACGGCAGAGAAAGATTATGTGCTTCTCTGTGCTACGGACTGGAAGACTGATCTGGCTCCGGCATGCAAAGCCTCTCTGCCCTTCCCTGAATTGAGGGGACGGCTTTGCTCAGCCCAGGGGGAGGACATCCGGAGGACAGAGGAAGGTGGAAGGACAGACAGAGTGGGGGGGGTGACCGTGCAGGGAGGGAAGGGCCTCTGTCAGCTGACGCTTCTTGAGGCTGGCTCCCTGAAGGCTGCAGCCCCAGCCGCCACCGCCGCCCATTCAGGAGAGCAGGCTGGCAGGCTGATCCAGGATCTGCAGGCGGGTGAGCAGGTGGGCTGGAGCCCGGCAGAGACGTCCCTGCCTCAGGCAATTATGCAAAGTGACAAGTGATTGCTTTCCTTTTCAAAGACAACCCCTTTGGAAAAAGCTTTTTCCTTGAGGTCCCTGGGGAAATGGGGGGCTGGGTGGGAACCTCAGGGCCTCGGTGGGTGAGAAAGTGGCTCCAGCCCCACAGCAGGTCCCTCTGTGGGCTCTGTAGACTTTGGCCTCACAGGTTTCCAGGGGGCAATGCCTGGAGAGGCCTAGGGCCTGAAAGGTGTGACTGGAGTCGGTCAGAGAGCCGTGGGTGTGGGGCATGGCCCCTCGTCCGTACTGCGGCCTGCCTGGGTCAGGGCCCTCCGCCGGGCCAGGCGTGACTTGGAGGGTGGAGAAAGCCTCACAGAGCAGAAGCCCTGGGCCAGTGCCTTGGACTCCTCTGCCAGTTCATTCTCCTCGTGCTGAGACAGCTGGCGGTTAAGGGCGATGGCCTCGGCCGCGAAGAGCGTCAGGTCCATTGTGCTGCTATTTCTGCAGGGACAAAAGGAAAAGCAGAGAAACAAGGGAGGCAGGACTCAATGGCCTCAGCCAGGCCAGCTCCCTGCTGCAGTCCATACTTCCACCGGGTTTTCCTGAGCCGGCATAGGACTGCTTTCTGCAAAATCGTTCTTGCATGGGTCTGGAATCTGACTTCACTGAGGCCGGAATGGCTTTAAGCCTCTATTACGATCCTTGGACTTGAGGGACAAATGCCCCATTCATTCAGCGCACCCTCCTCCACGGCTGTGCACAGAGCTCTCTCAGAGGGAGGGCTGGGCACATGGAACCCACCCGTGTGTATTCTTCTCCCCCGTCAGGGCAGGAAGCTCCAAGAGCAGGGGCTGGGCCTCTGTGTCCATCCCCAGCAGCCAGCTCAGGGCGGGCACACACAGGCACTTCGGGTGCTGAATGAATCTGCTGAAGTGGATCTGAGGTTTTGAGCCTCAAAGCATCTGGATGCAGCTCTAGAGAATCAGGTAGGACGAGCCGGGCAGTACATTCTAGCTCAAGGGAACTGAGAACGTAAAGGTGTAAGACTTCCCCGTGGAACTCCCAGAAACTGGCCATAAGGTTGGTTCCTAGAGGGGTTCCCACAATGCTTTATCCCTGGCCCTTTGGGAACAGGGCAGTGCTCACGAAGAATGTGATTAAGTGTTAAAAGGCACTAACGTCAAACAGATCTGGGTTCAAAGTAGAACTCCCAAGGCCTTGAATAAGTTAACTTTATCTTTCTATGCCTTAGTTTTCTAAACTATAAAATGGGGTAATAGGAATACCTCTCTGAAATTTATTGTGAAGATTATGGATATAATCTGTGTACAGCCCTTCGTACCATATCTGGCATGTGGTATTTACTATACAGTGGCCATTATTATTGTTTGTGTAGTAGTATTTATATCACAATCGATGCTACTGCCTTACAGCGCCCCCGATTCCTGCTACTTTCACCAAACCACCTGTGGCAGAAGGAAACCTTGTAATAACCCACAGATAAAATCTGTTTTAGGGGCTGCAAATGGTGATTTCCATTAGGATTCAAGTGTTCATGCAAAACAGGGTTTTCTCCTGCACACAGCACAGGGAGGAGCCGTGAAGGTGCTGGAGGGCTGGGGAAGCCATCCAGGTGGAGGAAGAGAAGAGGGTGAGACATTTACTGCAGCGGGTAAAGAGAGGAAGAGAAGTAGGGAGAAGGCAGGCCAGGGAGCCACCCAGGAAGATGCCTGAGCCTAGCGATGGGCTCCCCACCCCCACCTCCATCCCATGTGGCTGAGAGCTTGAGAAAGTCAAAGCCCAAGAAGGAAGGGTGTTGGGTGTGTGGGAGCATTTACCTCTGGAGGACTTGCGGCGTGGGGAGTCCCCTTTCTGGAGCTTGCTAGAATGGGAAGCATAGATTGTGGGTAAGTGCTGCTCCCTCCTTCAAGAGCTGCCCCCACCCATGCCAGCGCAGAGTGGGTCGGTTACTACAGGCTCTGGCCCAGCACAGGGACTTGGCCAGGCCTGTCTGCAGGGTCGGATCTTCCAAGGAGAGAACAAGCAGGGAACAGCCCTCAGCTCAGTTGCCTCTGCATGGAGAGCCCTTTGTCTGGCAAAGTCCTAACCATTTTCCAAGGCCCACCTTTAGGGCCCCTTCCCCTGTGAGACATTCCCCCTCCCCTGCCACCGCCCAACCCCTGCCTGTCCTAAGCAGAGGTGGGTCATTGTCCACTGGTGCCCAAGCGTCTGCCACGCTACCCTGTCACTTATTCCCTTGTTTCCCTCTCCCCATGAGAATATGAAGACAGGGACTGGGTCTAACTCATTCCACTATTGTGAGTGTCTGACGTGGTGAGTACTCAGTAAACACAGCAACTCCTGAGTGGCTGGGAATTAGCCACCGAGAGACACTTGGATTGGGTCCCACCTGTAACATGGGGCTGTCGGGGCCACTGAGGCCGATATAATGACTCCCAGGAGGTCCGGCAGACCCCTTGGAGGACAGCAGTGAGGTCCCATCAATAACTAAGGAGGATGGTTAAAAACGATTTCTAGTGAAGACTTTAGGTAGTTTGGTGAAAACGCCACCATTTGCCTTTGGACAAGATGCACCCAGACCCAGGACCTCAAGGAGACCATATGTGCCCCTCATGCAGCCACACAGCAAGCAGGCAGCAAGGCCTTGCTTCTGGGTGCTCTCAGCTAATGGTCTCCGTACAAGGGGATGGCAATGCAGGCCCCCATGACACCAGGCTGCTTCCTGGGCTGGATGCCTCTGCCGAATCCCCCAGAGGCCTCTGTTTGTTCCAGAGAAGCATGGGCCAGCGAAGGCCTTAGTCTGTGACCAAGGTTAGAGCCAAATGTACGAACAGTATGGGTGGGACTCAGTCTGGGGCTGGGTTAGGAGTCAGCTCCCTCTGTGTGCACAGGAATTGAAACTGCTGTACAATCTCCCTCCAGCTGAGGTCTGAGAGCTTCCTCATGGCCACACTGCAGCCTGAGGAGGTGGCACGCCGCCCCTCCCTGGGTCACTCACCCCCTGCACCCACGGGTGCTGCAGAACTTGGGCGGCGCTCAGTCTCTGCTTTGCATCTCGAACCAGGAGCTTGGAGATGAGGTCTTTGGCGTCACTGGAGATGTGCGCCCAGTCCTTGTCAGGAAACTCATACTTGCCTTCCTGGATGCTCTCAAACAGCTTGTTCTAGGCAAAGAAGATTCCTCTTGAGGTGACACTGGCCAGGCCTGGTCACTCTGTGCCCAACTGACTGCAACTGAAGCTCAGCGCGTGGCTGGGGTACACCACAGACTCCCCATACTTTCTCCTAAATCATCAAATGACACAGAATGCCCTTGGCAGGCAAATGGCTATGCTACTTGGCAGGCTGGTGGGTGATGCGTGGGAAATATCAACCATAGAACAAAGCCTGGATCCCCTGGTCCTTCACATAGGGCCTCCAGGAATGGGCTCCTGGCAACCTCTAGGTTCTCATCTCTCACCACAATCAGCCTTACATGCTACCTTCTTCCCTCTACACACTCAAACCTCTGTGTCCTTGTAAACCCCGTGTCTTTGCTTGTGCTGTTCTTCTACTTGTATTTCTTGCCCTTTTCCCCCTGAGGCCACACTCATCCTTTCAGACTCAGCTCAGGTATGATCTTCCCTAACTGGCTGGGCTAATTGCCCAATTATTTCTATTTCACCTGGTGGATGCTCTTGGACAAAAGAGGGAAGGGGCACTATGTACCCCTTTCCAGATCAGGAACAATCCCCAAACCCAGTCCCACTTGGCATCCCGCAAGCCTGCTGGCCCCCAGCCCCACTCTGCAGTGGGTCCTGGGATTGTACTCACCTGGCACACCCTGCAGACCTCTCCCCGGTCCCAGCCACAGTCGGCCCCACAGTGACCTACAAAGGGGGGGTAGCCACTCAGCATGATGTAGAGGACCACGCCCAGGCTCCATAGGTCACAGCGCTTGTCGTAAAACGTGGCCTCGTCCGTGAAGACCTCCACCACCTCCGGGGCCATGTACTCTGCAGAGCCACACTGTGGGGGCCACGGTTGGGGAGGGGGAAGTGACAGAGAAGAGAGGGGCTTAGTCACAGGGAGAGGGATGGCAAAGAGCAGAATGTAATGGGACTTGAGCAAAAGGATAGAGCTGCAGAGCAAGAAGCTGTGAGGAAAGCCAGCCAGAGAGCTCGCCTGATGCCACCAACGCACTTAGAAAAGCTGGGCCAACTGAGCATTGGGAAACTGAGTCCTGTCATCCCCGTGATCCATGTGACCAGCTCCAGGTCACCTTCTCTTTTCGGGTCCTTCTCCAGTAAGCGGAGACCCTTGGTCAAGAAGCTCCAGGAATCGCTCCCTGCCTCAGCTCTCTATCCAGTCACTTAATGCGCAGGTACTTCAATGTATCAGAAGCACGGCTCTGGGGGAGACCCGTGGAGATCGATTCCATACAGCAAGGATTTCTTAAAGTGAAGTCCTGCCAAGCTTCCCTGCAGGCTTAGAGCAAGCACACATAAGGATTTAGAATTAGGAGACCATCATAGCTAAGAGAACTCTTAGAACAAATCCCGTCTCCCTGCTTCTCCCATTTACAGATGGGAAAAACCAAGCCCTAGAATGGGACAGGGATTTGTTTAAGCACATCAGTGGCAAAGCCGGATCCAGGATTCCTTCCTCGCATCCCTGCATAGAAACTGCTAATAAAAATAAATAATGCCTTTTGTTCCCCTCTTCATTCAGGTTCACCAAGAGATTACCCCCCCCCCCCCCCCCCCA